ACAAAAGCTGAAGTCCTCTCAGAGAACCTCAATCAAGAAAATGCCTCCATAAGATCAAGCTGTAGGTAAGCCTGTAGGGAATTTTCCTAAGTAGTAACTAAAAGGTGGAGTTAAGAAAAACATGCTGAGTACTCCATGAGAAGCAGTGCAGTAAGCATCACCCCCTCCATGCCCTCTGTAACAAATCCTAACTCCAGGTTCTGACCCTATTTCAGTTCCTATCTTGACTTCCTTCAATATTGGACTATGATGTGTAAGTGTAAGCCAAATAAGCCCTTTCCTTCCCAAGTTATGTTGGTCATGGTGTATCATCACACCAATAGTAACACTAAGATATCTAGCAAAACTTTCAAACACAATAAATTAATAAAATACAGTCCATAAGAAAAAATTTAAGAAATATCTATTATCTGCTGCTCTGTTATTCAACGCAAATGTTGTGCTCAGTGTTTATAAAATAAGTTTCAAATAAATTAAATTTCATGAAATAAAAAAAGAAATATCTATTTAAAAATCCAGGCATATGCAATGATCTAGCCTGAATACTACAACCTAAAGAGGCTAGCCACACACCAAGGGAACAAAAGGAATAAATAACCCCATAGCAGCAAAATGAAAAGAAGGGAAAATACACACACAGAGGGGGGAGGGGAAGGAAGGAGAGAGAAATAGGGACAGAGAGACAGAGACACAGAGAGAGAGATCAACAATGAACTACAAAGAATGAAAAAAACCACTGCTCACTGATATCTTTATTAATTAATGGTCTCAATTACCCAATTAAAAAGGCACATACTAACAGAATGGATGTGAAAACGGGACCCATCCTTCTGCTGCCTTCAAAAATATACCCTAACATTACTTCAGGGCACAGGATGGAAAAAATACTCCAACAAAATGGACCTAAAAGTCAAGCTGAGGTATCCATTTTAATATCTGACAACATAGACTTCATACCAAACTAATCAAAAGAAATAGGGAAGGGCGCTGCATATTCTAAGGAAAAATCCACCAAGAGGACATTGTATTCTTGACATGCATGCACCACACACAAACATGCACCTATGTTCATAAAGCAAACACTACTGCAGCATAAGTCACATATTGACCCTCACACACTAACAGCAGAAGACTTCAATACTCTACTCCATATGGAGCTTTTTTATGGCAAATGCTGGCCATTTGAGAAAAGAACTGTCCTTCACTCAATTGCTGACAGTATGCTGTCCAAAGTGGAGCAGCAGGATGCAAAAAAAGCAGCTGCCAAACTTTGCCAAGACAAGGTAACACAGTCCTTAAAAGTTCCCTGCTTTTCAGAAATGTCTGTCAGATACAGCAGGCCTTTAGGCCAAAGTTCGATGTACTAATGTTACAGAAGCACTATGGGTGACGATCTAGGCAGCCCCTACTGACCTGGACTTGCTATATAGATGAGGCAAGCTTTAAACTCACAAATATCTGCCTGCTCTCCCCACACACACAGGCAATGCTGGACTTAAAGGCATGCACCATCACACCTAGATGTTGTGACCTTATCTCTTGACAAAAGAGAGGAAAGGTTTCTTCTGGCTCCCAGCTCCCCATGGCACACCAGTAGGGGTGTGAGCAGATCATCATATCACATCGGCCATCAGGAAGCATGACACTGGTGCTCAGCCTGATAGCTTTTTTCCTTTCTGCACAGTAGAGGACCCCAGCCTATGGAATGATGCTCCCAACATTCAGAGAGGTCCTCCATGCTCTGTTACACCTTTCTGAAAACGTCTTCAACAGTGACCGTAAAATCCAGTCAAATGGTTGATGAAGATGAACTATTCCTTCTGAGCCTGTGTTGGGTTCATACCTGGAAGGGGGAATACAAATTGAGGAAAGAAGTACACAAGAAACAAGAGATAGAGTCAGTATCGCATTCAGTGAAGGCTGAGTTTGCCCAAGTTTATTCTGCAAAGGACTTTTATACACCCATCAAAAGAGGTGGGGGAAGGCAAAAGACTCCCTTCCCAATGATACACAGAACAGACAGAGTAATTACCTCTTCAACACCTGAAACACAAAGTAACTATATCCTAAGTTAAGTATTCTCTTGTTATGCAGGGAACGCATTCACCACACCTTTGGCCAAGAAGCCTGTTGTATTCACATCTTCTGACTGGCTTTGGTTTAAGATTTGATAAAGTCTACTTTATCAACTATGAAAACAACTGTGCCAGCTTATTTGGGACATCTACCTGCTTGGAAGATTGATTTACATCACTTTTACTCTCATTTGGAGACTATCTCTGCTAATGAGAGAGTTCTTTTCATCTCTAGAGAGATTATCTATGATACAGAGAAGGAATAACCCAGCCAAAAGCTTACAAAGGGAAATATAATATTATTTAATAAAATCTGAAGCATCTTTCTACTTCACAAATAAAAAAAGGCTAGCACCTAGAAAATCCTAGAACTCTGTGCAGTAGCTTAGCACTTAGCAAGGTCTATATTATCTTTCAAGACCATCCTGATCTTGCTAGATCACAGGTCAATTAGACCTTTCCTTTTATGTATGTGTATGGTGAATGTGTATGTATGTTCATATGTGTATTCACATGTGTATTCATGTGTGCATGTGTTAAAGCCAAAAAACTGACTTCAGATGTTTTCCATTGCTCTTTTTTGAGACAGGATTTCTCACTGTATCTATAATTCACCAATTCTGCTAGACTGGCTGGCCAGTGAACTTCATGTATGTACATGTCTTTGCCTGCCCCTGCCCCGCCCCCCACCCAGTGCTAGGGTCACTAGGCTAGGGTGCTGCATTCAGTTTTTTACCAGGATTGTGAGGGTTCAAATTCAAATCCTTGCGCTTGTGCAGCAAAGATGCTACTGACTGAGTCATCCCCGCCACAGGTTTGAATTAAGACTCTCCTAACAAAAGAAATACCCCTTCTGTGTTTTTCAACACAGAAGATGATACTCACCACCATTTCTCATTCATTGGACATTCATAACCTGCATTATTCCCTATGTCACCAACATGTCCCTAATTGAACCTAGCATTGTGATCATTTATTAAAATGTTTCCTAGCTTTCCAGTGGCCTCCAGTTTAATTCCAATTCATTTGCCACTCATTCAAACACAAGTTTAATCATGCCATTACTACTTAAGATATTTGATGATCTTTTCAATAATTCCGTGACTCCTTTTTTAGCAAAGGGACTTCAAATTTCGCTGCTGTCAAGGCTTATTTTCCCTTACTATATTTTGTGCCTACACTGGGACACATGCTCTTCCAATGTCTCAGTCCTCTCGTTTTCAGTTTTCTCTGGAGGTTTCTCACAAGACATGCACTGAAGGAATGTGGGATGTGTTAAAATACTTGCTCTGTAAAGCAGCTGGTATGTTTAACTTCTGGAAACTATTTGTGGTTCTCCTGATCGTTAGATGATCCAGGAAAGTGATCCCTGCGCATTTACAGTCCACCATGACTATTGTTCCAAAGCTGATTCCATATAACAGAAACAGCAGCTCCAGTTTACATACAAGAGGTTGTTAGGATCTGCACGCTTACTAACTGTGATGGCTAGTTTCCTGTCAACTTGACACAAATTAGAGTCACTTAGAAAGAGATAGCCACAATTGGGTAAATACTCCCACCAGACTGGCCTCTGGGAAAGCCTGTGGTACATATCCTTAATTACTGGTTGATGTGAGAAGGGCCAGTCCATTTGGATGGTACCACCCCAGAGTTGCTGGTCCTGCTTGGCAATATTTGCAGATGTAATGAGTATGTATTAAAGACAAACGTAATTTCTTTCTTGACATTATTCCCTAAATAATCCATTGTAATTACTATCTAGAATCTATAATTATATGATTTTATATGTATTTACAAATTATTTAAAGTGTATGGGTGGTATAGGATGTCCTTATGTATGTTGTGAATATGTGTTGCTTTTATTGGCTGATAAATGAAGCTATTTTGGCCAGGCAGAATAGAGCCAGGTGGGAAATCCAAACAATATGATATGGAGATAAAGAAGACGGAGTCAGGGAGATGCTGTGCAGCCGCCAGGGAAACAATATGTGAGGTAACAAGCTACAAGCTTTGTGCTTAAATATAAAATGATAGAAATGGGTTAATTTAATTGTAAGAGCTAGTTAGTAATATGCCAGAGCCACTGGCCAAACAATTGTAATTACTACTAAGCCTTAAGGTGGTTATTTGGGAGCTGGCAAGCAGAATGAAAAACCTCCAACTACCTAAGGGAGGCTATATATGGGTAATATGCTACTAATACCCATTTGTTTTTGATATTGAATCTGTAGACTTTAGTCCCTTTAAGAGCCCTGTGACAAAGACCCCTGTGGGCACAGATGAACTAGTGCATACCTATAGACATACTTTTGGTATAAAAACACCCTGTGCACCCACAGCAGTTCTCTGTCCAGTTCTTATTGGATGAAGCTGTATTGCTCCACCTTTTCCTGAACTACTATTCCTCCTGGCCCCTCGTCTTAGAATGAACCATCTGTTCCATTTGAGTCACGTTAGTATACCAATTACCACCTACGGTATACATAATGTATGCCAGGCAGGACACAAGGTACTTCGTATACAATGCTATTTCATTTTTTTACATAATTCCAGAAGGAGCTGCTGCTAAAGCACTTTTTTTTTTTTTTTTTTTTTTGGTTTTACGAGACAGGGTTTCTCTGTATTGTTTTGGAGGCTGTCGGTCCAGCCTGGCCTCGAACTCACAGAGATCCGCCTGCCTCTGCCTCCCGAGTGCTGTGATTAAAGGCGTGCGCCACCAGCGCCCGGCTAAAGCACTTTTTTTTAAACTTAGGTTATATTCATAAGCATAAACTTAACTCTGTAATCCAGCTAGACTTGAGAGGAATAAGGAAAATATGGAACCCAAAGAATTTCAGTGAGAGCAGAGATTACAGGGCATTATGAGCAGATGGGGTGGAGGCAGGATGCTCTCCAGAGCTACAGAGTGAATGGTCTGGTGGGTAATAGGCCCGCGAGTCAGAAGAATTAGAGTTGCCCACAGGCGGAAATGGTGATCTTCTTGCTGGTCTTGCCGTTCCTGGACCCAAAACGCTCCATGGCCTCCACAATGTTCATACCTTCTTTCACCTTCCCAAAGACCACGTGCCACTTAATCTTGGCGGTGCAGATAAAAAACTGGGAACCATTTGTGTTTGGTCCAGAATTTGCCATGGACTGTCACGACCACCTCGACCAGCAAGGAAGACGCGACTCAGGAATCCTTCTCACAGGCAGTTTATTCAGGACCTTGAACAAATCTTCTGACCCCAGGGAGTGCCCGCCCACAGCTTAAAAAGGCCCTTGGGCGGCCAACCCCGGTAAGCCATGTGGCGACAGCAGATAGGTCCACATACGAGGAAGCAAGCCTGATATCCAGCCTTGACCAAATAAGGAGTTGTTTATCACAGAGAGCACTTGCTGTCGGGCTAGCAGAGGCGGAAGCCAGCACCATCTTAAGGGTGCGGCATTTCGCAGCTCTCTACAGTTCCCCCTTTTTTGTTTAAAATGCAACAGGCAAGAGTAGAGGTCTGATCTCTGACAATGACAGGGACATTGTACTGATTTTTGTTTGGCGTCATCCACCCAACAAACATCAGACCCGTCCGATACCCTTTTTTCCAGAGGCGGGACTCTTGGGTACCAACCCGCATGCAATCAGACATGCTCTTCTCTGGGTCATTATTAGCTGACTCAGAGTGCAGTGCTCTGCCTCGCATCCTGAGCGTATTTAATTAGTTTTTAAGGTGGCTAACCATGTCTGTGGGGGACTGTCCTGCTTCAATATCGGTAAAGGCCTGAATGACCATGGCTGCATTGCGTCTTTGTGCGACTCTAATCTTACATAGAAACCACAAGCAAACCAGGGAGACCAACACCAAGAGACCTGTTAATGCTCCTACACCCGCCCACTCCTTAAGATGGTTCTTTGTAGAAGTCAGCCAGGACGATAATCCCGATGCAAAGGAAAGGTCCACTCTGGTGGAATTCACATGGACCACTGCCAACCTCAACTCCTTCAAAGTATCTTCAAATTTAAGTGACCAATTCTGTAAAAGAAAACTGGACAAATACTTGGACAAATTTGTAGCTTTTATAAAATTGGCATAATCCTTGCATTTTCCATTCGCAGCCTCCAGGTGCCAAGATTGTCACTCACTTCTCCTTAATTTGGCAATGATTTCCAAGCTTTAATGGCTATCTGATCCACCTGTTCAAACACCTGTCCTGGATATCCTGTCTGCATGTTTGCAAATCTACCTTCTCATTGCTGAAAGGGGGCACTGTTCATACCATGGGGATCATGACAATAGTTTGGAGTTCCTCCTCCTCCTCCTCGGAGTCCGTAGACTCTGAGTCTTCTAGAGCTGAGTACATCTTTCTTTTTCTGTTTTCCTCCCTTTTCACCGTTTGCCTGCTCTGATCTCTCCTCTTGTAATTGTTCTAAAGCATTTCTCCCCTTTTTAACTGCCTCACTATACTTCTGATCCTCAAGGGAACTTTTTACTAGTCTCTAGACAGGCCAAACACCACCTCTGAGCGTTTGAAATAATTCAGCAGCATTTATCATCAAGTGTACTTTAGCAGTTGTTCCTTCCTGAGCAATCAAAAAAACTGAAAAACACAATAGTATACAGTATCCAGAATTTCTGTGTATTTTCCATATTGTTTCTCAGTCCCATGTAAAATCAAGATCTCTCCCTAACTTTCAAAAATCTTAAATTCTTAGAATGAAGCAGCTCATTCAGAGCCAAAAAATTGGGTGCAACTGAGAAGCACCCATAGCCAAACTAACAATGTTTTTACTTTCCGGTTTGCTGCTAGCCAAACTAACAATGTTTCTTTCAAACTTCTAATGTTTCTTTTTAGCTTTTACTTTGGGTTCCCTGCTAGCCAAGCTAACAATGTTTTTACTTTCGGTTTGCTGCTCCAAGAACCATTTGTCCTGCTCTCTCTTTACCTTCAGAGAGGAGCAAACCAATTGCTCTTGTCCCAGTCCTTTTTTTGCCCCGCTCTTGTCGTGGTCCCTTTTTTAGTCTAAGATTCTTTGATTGAAGCAACTCGTTGAGTGCCAGAAAAATTGGGCAGGATGTGGAATTACCCATGTTTTAATAACAAACAGTGAAAAGAAAACCCAAAAAATAAAATTGAATACCACCCAAAGGGCCAAGAAAAATAATAATACCCTTTGTTTCACTTTTACTCCGTCCGCTTTGACGCGGCTCTACTTACTTTCCTTTTTGTCCCGTCTGCTTTGACGCGGCTCTGCTGCTTTGCTTTTTGTCCCGTCAGCTTTGACGCGGCTCTACTACTTTCCTTTTTGTCCCGTCCGCTTTGACGCAGCTCTACTACTTTCATTTTTATCCCGTCCACTTTGACGGCTCTGCTGACCGTTCTCCCCTTCTCTACGGGTGAGAACAATAATCCCGCTCTTTTCGCGGATCCCCGCCTTACCTGGGGACTTACCGGTGCACCCCCTGACCGCTGTGAGTTCTGAATTCCTTTCTTCGTACGAGCGTCCCCGTACGGGCCACCAACTGTCACGACCACCTCGACCAGCAAGGAAGACGCGACTCAGGAATCCTTCTCACAGGCAGTTTATTCAGGACCTTGAACAAATCTTCTGACCCCAGGGAGTGCCCGCCCACAGCTTAAAAAGGCCCTTGGGCGGCCAACCCCGGTAAGCCATGTGGCGACAGCAGATAGGTCCACATACGAGGAAGCAAGCCTGATATCCAGCCTTGACCAAATAAGGAGTTGTTTATCACAGAGAGCACTTGCTGTCGGGCTAGCAGAGGCGGAAGCCAGTACCATCTTAAGGGTGCGGCACTTCGCAGCTCTCTACAATGGACAAGATGCCAGGACCTGTGTGCTTCAGGATGAAGCTCTCATCCTCAAACTTCTCTCCGTAGATGGGCCTGCCACCAGTGCCATTATGGCGTGTGAAGTCACCACCCTGGCACATGAATCCTGGGATCATTCTGTGAAAGGAGGAACCCTTATATCCAAATCCTTTCTCTCCAGTGCTTAGAGCGTGAACGTTTTCTGCTGTCTTTGGAACTTTGTGTGCAAATAGCTCTAAGGAGACACGGCCCAAGGGCTCGCCATCGGCAGCGATGTTGAAGAACACGGTGGGGTTGACCATGGCTGCAAGGAGAGGAGACAGGGGGACGGCAGAGTCTGCAAAGCGGGCGCTAAAGCACTTTTTAATAGCTCAGAAAATTTCAGCAGAGAAGTTGAGTCCTTGTCACATCAAGGCTTCTAAGCACAATATTGTTGTATACTCATACAAGTCAGTAGAAAAGACAGGAAAATAGAAATTTGTGTGTGTGCTTGAAGCTTGAAGAGAGGGATAAACAGGGAAGACAGGGAAGAACAATTTGGAGAGCAAAGCTCAGAGGGCCTTAGAGGCTGAGCACCCTATACTAAACGTCTGACATGATCATTGTGTTCAGACTGCAACCTCCTACCCATATCTTCCCATCATATCTCGGTAGTACACCCTCAAGCCTGAAAGGCCTGGGTTCTCACAGGAACATCTCCTGCTATCCAAACAATCAGGATTATACGTTGCATAGAGGAGAATCGAGGTCTCTCAGTCCTCCATGATAGAGGACAAAGATGGAGTCTGGGAAGTGGGGATGGGATCAGAAACTGATGATGGGGGTTAGCTGCTTTACTCGGAGAGATTTACAGAAAAACATATTTTGGCAAGAAATTTTCAAAGAAGTTCTATATTAACATAAACAGCACTTTGAGGAAAGAATTAGAAATCATGTAACAGACTGGAGAGATGGCTTAGCAGATAAAGGCATTTACTATGCAAGTATGATGAATTAAGTTCTAATTCCAGCACTCACATAAAAAACTAGAATGGCTACATACACCTATAACCTTATGGCCAAGTCAGGTAGGACAGAGACTTGCTGGCCACCAACTTAACTCCAGCTCCAGTGAGAAACTCCATCTCAAGGAACAAGGCATCCCACAAGGTCCTTCTCTTTGCTTTCTGGTATAGGCAATGCACATATACATGCATGCATGTGCACGAACACACAGAGAGGGAGGGAGGGAGGGAAGGATGGATGGAGGAGAGAGAGAGAGAGAGAGAGAGAGAGAGAGAGAGAGAGAGAGAGAGAGAGAGAGAGATCACAGTTAATATCAGAAAGTCCTGCCAAATATTGGGAAGAAAGGAATGGAGAGTGAACTAACAAGAATTGTCTGCTGTAAGTTTAGAGCCTTGAGCTCCATTCTTCTTTCAATCAATCTCAGAAAATTTTACATGGCAGATAAAAACTGTCTTCCTTTTTGTGTTCATTTCAAGTTTTTCCATTTGTATTTGTAGTTTGAAAGAAACAGCTGTGTGGAACAATCAACTGAGAGAATTCTAGCCCGAGAAAGATGACTACCACCTGCCAAAGCCAGTCTGTTGGTATGGAAGAGGTATTTCTGAAAATGAAGGGATGCATCTAAACTGTTAATGAATGCCATGCCATGCCTATCACCTTCTTCCAGGGCACAGATGGTTTCGAAGTCTTATTCTTAGAAGGCTCTAAATTGTGTTTCTATGACATTAGAAGAGGACATCATTAAGCTACCTACCTATACCATAGTTTCTGAGCAGCAGATGCAATTCTCTATCCTACCATGCTACTTTGGCCTTCCTCTAAATGTTTATGTTCATTCTGTAAAATACAACTCAAGAAGTTTCTTAGTTTGAGGATAAATGGAATAAGTCATAACCCTTGAGATACCAGAGCTTATGCAACTACTGTATTGAACTAAATTGGGCCTGCTAGAGTGTGAATGTGGTAGATGGATGATAGATAGACAGACAGACAGATAGACAGACAGATAGATGATAGATAAAAATGATAGATGATAGATATATAATAGATGATAGAACGGGATAGATGATAGACAGATAATAGATTATAGATACATAGATGATATATAGATGATAGAAAGAGATAGATAGATGATAGAAGAGAGAGAGAGAGAGAGAGAGAGAGAGAGAGAGAGAGAGAATACATACATATGGCTGAAAGTTCTGTGGAACTAACTAGAGAGAAGCTTTAAAATTTTCTTCAGCATCAGATGATTCTGAAAGTGACAAAACACCTTGATCTAGCAAAGAATAAGTACATCCATTGGGAGGCAACGATTTCATGTTGATGAAGCGTCTGCACCTAGTCATCATTTGTGGTAATCCCATCTATCTAAAAGATAATTTAAGGTCATGTACACCATTTGTCTGCTTTGAAGAAATTTCCAAGTCAAACAGGCCTGGCTAAGTGTATTTGGCCATGGTTGTTAGCTTCAGGTAAGTATCATATGGAAAATTATACTTAAAATAGAAAGCCCATAAACTCAAAAGTCAACACATTACTAAATATGGAATTGCAGGTTGTAGCTATAAATTTATATAATGGTAAATCAAGATTTAAAATATGTAACATCACCTATTCATTAAAGAGAATCTTCGGTACAAATTAGTCAATTTGGATGGAGAAATGGATCTCAGTGCATCCCTCTGGACCTGGCTCTGTCATCTGAGATATGACCCAGGTCAATATCCTTGAGTTTATTTGTATGTAAAACTTAAGAATAATCATTACTTTGTACTTAAGATGCATGCTATGATGGTTATATAGAAAATTATAACAGGAGAAATTAGGTAAGAAAACATCTTCGGTAACAATAGCAAGAACACATGAGTGGGGAGTTCATAGGCCCAGGAATGAATCTACTACTATTATAACCTGCCTTCTAAATTCATATTTCTTACTTATAAGTTAGTGCAATTCTCAGTCCTCATCAGAGAAGTCTCTTCATGCAATAAATGGTGACTAATGCATAAAGTCACAATTGGTCAAAGTGCAGAGAATGTGTGACTATGGAATGCTCAACAACAAATGGAACATAGATATCACTTCCACTTCCCAAGGCTCAGAGACAATGACAGAAGAGAGAGTATAAAGATTTTAAGAGACAGAGGTCTGGAAGGACCGACATAATACAGTATATTCTACATATAACAGAACCTGTATTCATGAACTCACAGCAGCAGTGGATACCTGCACAATATCTGCTCAAGATCAAGCCAATCGACACCCTAGTATGGAGTGGGAAAGGGTTTGTGAACCAACCCTAATTGAGAAGCTATGGGGATGGCTTCTGGAAGAGGGAAAGTCAATTTCTTTAAGGGTATGACTCCTGGTAGACTAACTATACTCCAGTGAATGGCCCCATACCCATAAGTACATGAACAACACAAATTAGAGTTGATGAGTTTTTAAATTTTGAAAAAGAAAGCTGGGCAGCTGCATTCAGAATGCAGGGCAGACAAATCTCTGAGTTCAAGGCCAGGGCTACACAGAGAAACCTTATTTTGAAAAACAAAAAAGGAGAGGGGCAGAGGAGAGAGAGAAAACTCCCATTTGAATGAAGATAGGGCAGTGAGTGTAGGTCTGAAAGACATTAGAGGAAAGAATTTGTGGTGAATATGATTAAAATATGTTGTATAATATTCTCAAAGAAACAATTAAAATTACTTTTGAAACAAAATATGCAAAATCGGGTTTATGGATCTAAAAGCAGTAGAAAAATCTAGAACAGAGAAAAATCAGTGTTTATATGTTAGAGACGAAGGAGGTACAATAATAACATAGATGAACAGGGGGAACCACTTTCAACTGCTACCTGGTACCTATTGCCTTCCCAGGAGACTGTGATGAAAAACAAAAATACCCTCACATAGTCAAAAATATATCACTCCCTATACTTGAGCATGTTGAAGTAGGTTCACTCGTTTTCCACATTTGAAATGACAGAACGGAATAGGAACCCCTTAAAAATGTAGAGATGCAAACAGGAGGAGATACAAAGAAACAAGCGATTGCCCATATAGGAGTTATAAAAGTTTGAACAAAGAGACATGGAAATATTTCCAAGACACATTTTTGCAGTGAGTCAAATGTCAGGGTCATATGATGTAAGCTTTGGAAGCCCTACAATGAATTATTTGGGGAAAAAAATCAGAAATTCAAGTTGTAATTTGTAATAACATTCTTAATAGAAGCCAAAAATAAATACTGTTTACATATTACATTAGGAGTAAAGTATCTGCTGCAGACAAAAGCTTTTTGTTGTTGTTTAAAAAAATACAGCAAAGTTAGAATTCAATAAATAACCTAAGGAATCCATTTGAAGGCAGCACAAAACTCAGGGAATGATGGGACAGCTAAAATAAGTCAGCTATGCAAATGCATTCTTAATCCTTTGGCCACATAAATCTCTAAAGAAAGCAGAGTCAGTCAGAGGAATAGCAGCTTGCAACAGATGCTTCACCAATTTCTTTTCCAGGTGGCTCTTTTTGTTATGTAGATTTATGTACTTGGAATCAAGAAATAATGGAGACATAGTCGTAAAGGGTTCTTTGGGAAGGTATGGTAAAAACCTAGAAGCACTGTAATTACATTGGTCAGAAATTATGCGTCTTCTACTGTATTTATAAAAGAAACTAGTAACAATTTCAAAGCATTCCAATGGTAGTTTTATGGCCATATTATGAAATGGAAAGTAGTATCATGCTTGAGCACTATAACTTTGATAAAGATTCTGCAAGAGAAGAAAAAATGTAGTAATGATTCCTTTTAAAGGGTTCTAATATTCAAGTGTGCCTGAGACACAAAATTGAAAGAAAGAACCATGGTGGAAAACTTGGAAGGAGGAATGCTCCAAAAATGGATGAATCACCTCAGTGTTTCACAGTCTCAAATCACATCTAGACTGCTGTGTTGAGGACTGACCATACACAAAATTACTCAAGGGCACTGTAGATTAAAACTGGATATGAAACTTACTCAAGGGCACTGTAGATTAAAACTGGATATGAAACTCAGCTGTACTGACTTTGAGCTCCGTGACAGCTTAAAGTTACCCATTGCACGCTTTAAACTTCAGTTTCCATATTTAGGAAATGAGGATAATAAGATCTTATAGTGATTCAAGATTGAATGTCACATTTCTTCCTATGACAGTATAATTGTTTGCATGGGCCTCCTGTTTCGATCAATAAATATATCTTTAGATCCTCCCACAGCTAGTACAGCTCTGCCTTCATCGCTTACCTGCCATGTAGAC